TCTAAGGTTCCTTTACATTTAACGTATGTTAAAGAGCTCAAGAATAAGTGACTTGAATAGCTAATTTACTCTATTTTCAAGTACAGGTAGTCCTGAACTTATGACCGGCCTCTTAGCAATGGGTTCATTTAACAACTGCAAAATGCTAAGCAAATGTTGCAAAAAAGGTAAATTATGGGTTGGTCACATGATTTACAACCATCACAACATGCAACCATAATGGACAAGCTCCATTATGGTGGTAGGTTGAGGACTACCTGTAACAAGATAATTGGGATAATGTAAATTTTCCCCTTATGTTACTGCTTTGTATATTACAGCTCACCGATTAAGGCACACTGCTGTTCAGATCGCTCTGAATTTATGGTGATTCATTTAACAAATGTTCAAAGTCATGATGCTGCTAATGTGACTTAGTACATCTTGTACTCAAAACCATTGCAGCATCTCTTGGTTTCAGATCAAAATTGGCAACTGGCATGTATTTATGACAATTGAAGCATTCTTGAGTTACGTGTTTGCCATTTGCAAGCTCTCGGGGAGCTTCTGACAAGCCAAGTCAATGGAGGAAATAGCATTTGCTTAACAACTACAATGATTTGCTTAATGACCATGGCAAAAAGTTGGGCATGACTCAATTAACAACCACATTGCTTAGCAAAAGACCTTCTGATCCCAATAGTGATTATAAGTCGAGGCCCACTTTCATAGAAATAAAGGCCACATTCAGATTCCTCCTAGTATGCAGTTCAGTGTTTTCCAATATGTTCACATTTTTATCTCAAGTAAAGTTTTGTACAGTATAGAAGAAGAAAATATTTCCAATACATTTTAATACCAGTAATTTATTTTATTATGGTTTTTTGAGGGTTGAAATTTTTTTAGGAATGGGCTAGTATGTTGAGTAAAACAAGGAATATATGGTATAATCCTTTGTTAACCACTTGGTCAGTGACCATTCAAAGTTACAAGAGAGTTGAATGAATGGTACTTATGATTGGACCTCAAGGAGTCCTCGCAGATCCTGGCTCCCTTGGCAGCAGCCACTCCCAGTCTGGTTGTCATTGTGCTGGGCTGCTGCAGCTGCTTGCGCACCATCCTTTCCCCAGCAAGACCCACACCGTGTCTAATTGCATTTGTACTGATTTGCAGCAGCCACTTATCTGCCTGCAAGGCTGCTTGCAAGCTGTCTGGGTCTCGTGACTTCCAGCCACCGTCCCTGTTAATTTTGCTTCTGGAAGCCAGAGGGAAGTCACGTTAATGATCCATGATCCTCGTTTAATGATGGTATTGGAGACTGCCACAATGTTGCTCACTAAGTGATGCACTTACATCATTGGGCTTTATGACTACATTGTTTAGTGATGGAAATTTGGATCCAACTTCTGTTGTTAACGTGGTACTATGTGTATTTAATTTTGATTATAGTTATGTGAAGATTAACATTCACATAATATATAAGCTAGCCTTTATGAGAAAAGTCTCAATATTTAGTGGAATGCATATAAATAGCTACGGAATAATGTTTCACTCCTGAAGTGTAATTAGACAGTGTATTTTTGATGTGGAACAATGACAATTCTGATATAGTTCATAGATTTTATTTTTGTGTAAAGCAAAATATTCAGGGAGAAAAGTTTTAGTCCAGTTTTCATAGCTGTGATATTTACCATACCAGATATTTATGAGTGTGATGACTGTTCATGCAGTCTGGTAAATAACACATCTGACTATGTGATGCCACATTCAGAGGAAAAGCAGTTCAAGCAGAAAAGAGGCTTTAAAAAAATGAAAATCAGCTCAAATTAGGGTGCTTATGTTTGTAATAATAGAAATTAATCTTTGTGCAAGATCCTTAGAGCTGCAGACAGCCAGAATGAAATTTGCTGTCTTTGCTATTTAAGTTTGCGGCAGTTTACTTTAAGTTATTTGTACATTTGGAAACATGGGTTTTTTGCTCCAAGATTATGTTTAAAATGACCTTGATTGAATTTCTATGTAGTTCTATTTACAGTATGTATTATGACTAAATCATATTATCTTTAGGCGTTTAATCCTACAAAAATGCATTTAGGGTTTTAGTTTTAGTCTATAAAACTCAAGTGTCTAAAGACAACTTTTATTTTTGTTTGTTCCAATGCTTTATAAGCTATTGCTTAATTGCTTGTGCATAACATTTATGTTTTTCTAAGTAGCAGAATGGGGTTCCAGACCCTAATCCTTTAGCCGTTGGTTTAGTCATTCCTTTAAGCCTTGCAGTGAGAGATCTCCTGAGTGCTGAGGGTATGTCTTACCTGCCATCTCAGGTTATATCTTCATCAAGATCTGTATACATAACTCCAGCCAACAGAAACATTCTTCAGGAG